AAAAGTTTTTGCACCGATGAAAATACCCTTAATATTCATGAGTTTGGGTTGTATTGATGAAATTTGAATTTATGTGTATTGCTGAAAAAACATTTTGTCAATTTTAATCCAGACGGGCATTTCCTTTTTCCTCTCTCAGTTGAATAAAAGCATATTCTCTTGTCTTTTTATACAAGAAGTTTCATGTTTTACATATTGAAATAATTAGATGAAAGATTGAAATGATTAGATGAAGGCATAGCCCTCAATGCAAGGAGTTTCCAACTAATAGTTTTATTTATATAGTTTTATATAATTTGAATTGTATAACACTTTTTGTTCTATAATAAGTTATACTTATTGTCACACAAAAATGTTAAAACCACACAAAAACATTAAATTTGTTTGGCTTAATTGATTTTATAAGTCTATACTTCATTAAAATGTTTAGAAACATTAGCGTATAAGTTAATTTTAAATTGATGAATAATAAATATTTAATGTTTTATCAATAAATAATGATTTACTTATACACAAATTTTATATATTATATTTATATAAAATCTTAACTATTCATCTATCTATTTTTAATAATTAAAATTTATTCATATTTATTAAAGATAATTATTATTTTTATCTAAAACTTTGTAATAAACTTCAATAATTTAAAGTGAAGAAATTATTAGTTAAGATTTTGTATAAATATAATATATAAGACTTGCAAGCAAATGGATTACTCCTCTTTATTAATTATCAACTAACTATTATAATTATGAACTATTAGCTTCTAACAGTAAAATTAAGTACATACAATATTTTTATCTGGCCTTATTATTCTCTTGTGTGACAATAACAATGCCTAGTACATAACCTAACTATACTTAAAAATGAGTTAGAAAAGGGGAAATGTGGAACTTCCTCATTGTCTACGAAAAAAGTAGGCTGCTGAATAATTGTACGTAGCTAAAACAAGAACTATTAGATGAAGAATGGTGTTTAATATTAAAAAGCCTAATTCAATTTAATGGTTAAGATTATGTAATTTAATATAATTTACATTGTATAATATTTTTTTAATTATAATTATAGCTATTATTTAATTTGCTAAGATCATTTCTCAATTGTTAAATTTTTATTTTAATTTAATTATTAAAAATAATTAATAATTATTATTTAATAAATTAAAATAAATTTATAAATAAACATTTTAAAATATCATACTAACTATTTAAAAAAACTCTAAATTAATAAAATTACAAATAAATGCATCATACCATTTTGAAAAGGTCACAATAACTTAGCTCCACTTTTTCCTATTACATGACAGAATAACTGTACTCTTTATGGGACAGAAGAAAAAGAGGGCCTAGTCCAGTCCAATAAACAAGCAGCAATTGCCCTCCTCATTTAAAAGCAGAGACATATTGTACTTCAACACAGTGACCTCTGCAACTATTTCTTAACCCAATTTGGAAATTCCTTACATTGCTGCATGGCTTGTTACTCTGGGCCTCATCCTCCTCTCCCTCTGTCTCCGACGCAGGAAACTCAACCTACCATCCGGCCCTAAACCTTGGCCAATCATCGGCAACCTCAATCTCATAGGCCCCCTTCCGCACCGCTCAATTCAAGAGCTCTCACAAAAATATGGGCCCATTATGCAACTTTCGTTTGGGTCGCTTCCGGTTATTGTTGGCTCTTCTGTTGAAATGGCCCAAGTCTTTCTCAAAACCCATGATCTCACCTTTTCTGACCGCCCCAAAATTGCGGCTGGCTGGCAAATATACCACCTACAATTATTCGGACATTACATGGTCACCCTACGGTCCTTACTGGCGTCAAGCACGTCGCGTGTGCCTTATGGAACTTTTCAGCCTCAACACCTTGAATCATATGAGTATATTAGGAGAGAAGAAATGAATTTGATGCTGAAACTATTATATAAATCATCAGGCAAACCTATTATACTTAAAGGACCTCTAGCAAACTTAAGCCTAAATGTCATCAGTCGGATGGTCTTCGAAAAGAAGTATACGATGAGACAGAAAACAATGAGGTTGTCACCCCGCAGGAGTTGAAGGGGATGCTTGATGAATTATTTCTGCTTAATGGGGTCTTGGATATTGGAGATTTTATTCCGTGGCTTGGATTCTTGGATTTGCAAGGGCATATTAAGAGAATGAAGGCTTTGAGCAAGAAGCTGGATAGGTTTTTGGAGCATGTGTTGGATGAGCATAATGCTAGGAGAAAGGGGGTGGAGGATTATGTTGCTAAGGACATAGTGGATGTGCTTTTGGAGCTTGTTGATGATCCTAATTAACCTTGAGATCAAGCTCGAAAGACATGGAGTCAAGGCTTTTACCTAGGTACAATAACTTTTCTCTTAATATATTTTATCTATTTTTTTAACAAACAAAATTATTAATAATGGTGAGGGAAATCGAACTCCAATCCAATTGTAAAGCATTATTTTTTACCATACTAAAATGTCAAGTATAAAAGTAGAGGTGTAATCAATTTCATATAATATTATTATTAGTACATAAAGGGTATTTTGAAATTAAAAATATTAAGATGTTTAATTAATTTCAATTACATAATGACTAAGAGTTATATTATGTCTTTAATATCTTGTTTTAATAATT